ATTCTAGCTACTGTTTGATTACCAGTCCACATGTTTGTTTGGATTGATGAATCGGGGAATCGGATTTTCATTTGATGTTATATGTTTGTCAGTTGCTATGTAATTTTAAGAAAGATCCTCAATTCTCTAAGTGCACCGAAGCTTATAATAGATTTTTGCAAGGATAGATATAGATAGTTTTCTTGTGGCCTCCCTGTCGGATTGCATCTACGTTCTAAAATATTATCCAGACCTAAGCAACATGTGAAATTTTTGGGAGGGGCGCACCTTGCTACTCACGTCGCTGATCGAGGTTCACCTTTCTCATAGAGCTGCTCCTCCCATTTTATTGACTTGCAGGTTGCCGCTGGAACTAGATGGGGTCTCCAGCCAGCCGCCATGTGGCTTGCAGTAGCGGTTGATGCAAGTTATCCTTACATACGTATAAGGGTCTTAGTACTTACTTAGTATGACAAAGTGAAGATAGAACTGATGTATTGAATTATTAATGGGGTGGTTTCGATGAGAACTGAAACCTTTTGCTTTCAAGGTTGGACACTGATATGAACTGTGAGTATTTAATAGAGAAATTCAGTTCATATGGATCAAAACGAAGGCATGTAGTACCTCACATGGACAGTGATTATTTGCCCATTGTAGTACTTCAAATTTGATGAAGAATTTATTTCACGACTGAGACATGGGATTTGGAGAATCTCAGTTCTGACATGTATATTAATCACCTTTATTTTGTCATGGTACTGAATGTTCTGATATGGCACTATATGTTTTGTTTATCTCTTATAAATAATGAAATGGCCTATATGTAAAGTTTTCTATTTTAATTATATTATGTCGTTGTTGACGTATGTGGATTTTGTAAACATTCAGGCTCTCGCTATCTCATGAACGCGCTAAACTTGATTTTGCCTTATGATAATCTCATGGTGTTGTTGTACTATATAATGTTTTCCTAATACAATATGTGAAATTTTCTTCTTTTTTTATTTTGTTATATCGTGTTTGAGTAAGTATGTTAAGATTACTACTAACTTGAGCATTACCTACATGACCACAACATAGGGACCGGCACCCTCGCGCTTGCATTACCTACATGACCATAACATAGGGACCGGCACCCTCGCGCCAAGCCGCGTTACCGATCTAGTAAGCATTAACATATCAAGCTTCAAACTTAGCTCCTTCAGTTTGGGCGACCTGTGCAGAATGCGGTACAGTGGGTAAAAGTGAACAGCCATGCACCAATCACCCAGCACGAGGCTTGTCAGGTTGCTCATCATCGGGCAAGTTTGCAAGCTCTCTCAAATGCGAGCTTCGTCTTCAACAGAGATGAAGAAAACCAGCAAAATCATGAGTAGGTATTGCAGAGACAGCAAGCTGATAATACGCCCGCCGTCGGATGGAATCACCAAAGATGGACGGACGGACGGACGGTCTTGGGTCACCAGGAGACGGGCTCCGCCTCCCAAGTCCATTTGTTGCTCCGACGACAGACCTGCGGCTGCAACTCCGACGGCGTTGCTGAATGCTGACAAAGCTTGTCCAGGATCACCCAGTGACAGGGCATCTAGTCATCTCGTCTACAAAATGCACTACTATGTCTGGACGTGGGAGTTGGGACGCGTTGTTGGTTGGCACCATCAGTCCACATGTTCGGTCAATGAAGACGGAAAGGGTTGACCTCGAGCACGGGAACTCATCAGGATTCAGGATTCAGGACACGATCAGATCAGATCATCAGACAGCCATCAGAGGATTCAGATCGGAAAGTCAAGCCATTCCACGTTCCATCTTGCAACAGCAGCAGCCACTAGTAAACACTGGAGTGAATATAAACGCGATATGAGTGACCTCCTTCCTCCCCGGCTAACCAGCTCCGTCTACCAAAGATGGCGCCACCACCACCACCACCACCACTGAAGAATCCTAGCCTGTCCACTCGCCACCTCATCTTGCTTCTCCTTCTGTCCACCGCCACCTTCTCCGCCGCTGTTTCCACCCGCTCCTACTCCTCCATCTGCCCCACTCCGGCACCCGCTCCGGACCGCCACACCGACGCCGACGACGCCCTTTCGCTCGCCCGCTCCTTCCAGATATACGACGGCTACTTCTCCGGCGGCGAGGGCAGCCTCTTCTCCCCCGACGATCACCTCCACGGCAGCTACCGCTCATTTTCCCTGTTCCCCGACCGCGCCGTCCGCACCACCGACCCGGCTCTCCTCCACCTCACCGCCACCCTCACCCTCGCCGGCCCCCGCTTCGGAGAGTACCACCGGAGCCATGGAAACCGCGGTAATTACACCATCCCCGCGTATATCTCTTTCGTCCTCGACGGTTACTACTCCTCCGCCTCTCTCCAGCTCTGCATGGTCGGGACGGGCACTGAACCCGCCGCCGACGGATCTGTGAAGCAGTACGCGGACGTCGCCCTCCACCTCCGCGTCCCCAGTCCTCCCAGCCTCGCCGATCCCTTCGTGGACGGCAGTTTAGATGGCTCCTCCGGCTTCGGGGCCATCCAGCTGCTCGCGTACGCCGAAGGCGACGACTACGAGTACGGCGAGCGCCCCACCTGCAGCCCACCGGTGCGGCCGGCCAGGGGCTCGCCCCAGGAGCTCGACGGCGGCAGCTTCGTGTGCGACGACCTGAAAGAGCGGCTCGTGACCTCGTACAGGTTGCAGGATCAGCACGGCGGCTCCCCGGCCAAGCTTCCGCGGATGCACGTCAACAGGATGAAGTGCACGCCGGACGGCGCCGTGCGCGCGTACGTGGTGTTCTCCAACGACACCGGGGACGAGGGGCGTCGGCTTGAATTCCTGGTGGACGAGGAGGCGGTCGTGGCCGACGGGCACTGGGACTCGGCTCGGGACATGCTCTGCCTCAGAGCATGCCGGGTGTCGCGCTCCGTGCCAACGCCGTCAACTCTGGCGGTGCGGGAGTGCGGGATCGAGCTGAGCTTCTGGCTCCCGGCCGAGTGGACGATCCTCGAGCGGAGCGTCGTGGCCGGCGCGCTCCGGAACCCGGCTCATGGGAGGACCGACGTGATGTCGGCCTTCAGCATCCACGACCGCAGAAGAAACCTCTCGGACGTGAGGTACAGCTACAACGACACGATGCTTGATGTGGCCAAGAAGCATTATCTGAAGATCAACAAGGAGAAGATCAGAGGATCGTTCCCGGTCCCGAGCAACTCTGCTTACCATGACTTCAGGCTCCATTTCTTCGTGGCAAACACGGGGAGGCGGGGAGAAGCTTACCCGGTCGCGATTGGTTCGGTGATTGTAAACGAGGATGGGTTGTCCGCCGACGATTCCCTCCCCGGATCTGCGGTGGGTGACACGGAGCACGATCTACTGAGAATCAGCTACGATCTACACTGTGATGCTGCAGCAGACAATTGGGTCCGTCCAACTAAGAATATGTCCTACTCCTACAGGCCGGAGGAAGAACGGCGAATCTCGATCTCAGCAGAGGGTGTGTATGATCCCAAGAGGGGCATCCTGAGCATGGCTGGCTGTCAACGGCGCAACGGCTCGACGGACTGCCAGATACTGGTCACCGTGCAGTTCGCCTCCCTCGACCTCGAGGGGCTCGGGGGCGGCGGAGCGATCAGCAGCCTCAGAGACAGGTCCGACCGTCTCTTCTTCGAGACGATGAACATCACCTTGTACGGGATGTACACAGAGCAACTGTCGGAGGCGGTATCGAGGATGGACATGGAGAGCATCATGCTCGTGGCCTCCACGATGCTGTCGTGCATCTTCGCCGCCCTGCAGATCCTGCACGCCAAGAAGAACCCCGAGGCCGCTGCGGCGACGTCGATCACCATGCTCGCCGTCCTCGCCCTGGGGCACCTTGCCCCTCTGGTGCTCAGCTTCGAGGTCATCTTCATGAGCAGGAGGAGCCAGTACTTTCTTGACTCGACGAGCGGCTGGCTCGAGCTGAATCAGGTGATGATGAGTGTGCCTGCGCTGGTCGCCTTCGTGCTGCATCTGCGCCTTCTTCACCTGGCGCTGGCTGGTCGGCTGAGACCGGCCGCCGGCCAGAGCGAGCCCGCAACGACGTCCGTCTCGGAGAGGGCTGTGCTGAAGGTGTGCCTGCCGCTGTACCTGCTGGGAGGAGTCATGGCCGCGGCCGTCCACGCGATCAACATCCGCACCTCAAGGGAGGGCCACATCGGTGGAGAGGCGGCCATGCCGTGGGACGACGTCGTGTGGTACGCGGGGCTGATGCTGGACGGCTTCCTGCTCCCTCAGGTCATCCTGAACGAGTCCTTGTCAGGCTCCAAAGTCCGAGCGATTTCGCGGTGGTTTTACATGGGTGGCACCCTGATCCGCGTGGCGCCTCACGTGTATGATGTGGTCAGGAGGCGGGTCTACGTGCCGAGTATGAGCCCCTCTGACATATACGCGAGCCCTCGCGGCGATCTCTTTGGCGTCGCGTGGGATGTGGTTATATTGTGCGGAGCGGCGTTGCTGGCGTCCCTCTTGTTCTTCCAGCAACGGCTTGGAGCCGGCGCCTCGCTTCCTTGGCAGAGGAAGAGATCAGGTGGGTATGAGATGGTCTCTCGCATCTAACTTGAGTATGTGTTTGGCTTGTGGTGGATTGGGTAACGTGTAGCATGTGGCATCGTGCTTTGAGGGGAAATTTGATATTTTTTTTCAGTTTTGCTAGAACTCATCTAGGAGTAGATGAGATATAATTTTGTCTCATTCACCTTTTAGAGCATCTTCAATAGATGGTCCAAAATTTGGCGGTCCAAAACCAAAGATGTAAAATTTGGACCGCAAAAAAATGCGTTTTGGAGCTCCGAAAAAAGCTCAACTCCAACAGATGATCCAAATTGATTGTCCAAAAGAGCAACTCCAATAGATAGTTCAAAATGAAGATGTAAATTTCTTAAAACGACAAACTACTAGTCCATTCAACATAGTTCAAACATCAAATTCAACATAGTTTCATACATGAACTTCAACTACTACTTATTCAAACTAATAGATAAACTACTCCTCATCGTCGGAGCTGCGGAACTGCTCCCAGAACTCGTCCTTCTCCGGGTCGTCGCACCCCTCCTCCTCCTCCTCCTCCGAGAAGTCTGCCCAGTCCTCCTCGGAAGAGGACTCGATGGGGATCACCGTCGAGGGACCGGCCTCGTCCTCCTTCTTCTTCTGCTCCGCCTCACGCTTCCAGTAGTGCTCCAGCTCGGCCTGGACGTACACCGGATGCTCCCGAGCAAACCTCGCCATCGCCTCCTCGTCGGTCTCGTCGGCATTGACGACAACCGACGGCTTCTTCGTCGTCTTCTTCTTCGTCGTGATCTCCTTCATCTTGATGCCCTGCGGCACAAGCATCTCCGTTTCCACCCGACTCTCGATCTCTGGGAAGTTGAGGTGCACCCGAGGCCTCCCGGCACGCCACACCGCCACGTCGTAGGCACACGCGGCCTCGTGGGCGGAGGGGTACGTGCCGATCCACCAACGCCTCCCGGCATCGGAGAACTCCACTCCCCAGTTACCGGAGGGCTTCTGCCTCACGCCAAAGAAGCCGGACTTGCTCTTCGGCGTCTTCTTCGGCGCCATCGGAGAGCGGTGAGAGTGGTGGAGCGGCGGCGGCGTCCGGCCAGAGCAGTGGCGGACGGAGCAGGGCGGGGCAGAGCTGAGGGGCGACAGACGGAGCGGGGCGAGGCTGCGGAGCGGTGGCAGACGGAGCCGGGCGAGGCAGAGCTGCAGGGCGGTGGCGAACGGCGCCGGACGGGGCGGAGCTGAGGGACGGCGGACGGAGCGGGCGGACGAGGCAGCGACGCACGGGGCGGGTTGGAGCTACGGCGGGCGGGCCGGGGCCGGGC